GAGGTTTGTTGTTTGAAAACCACGGCCATCTAAGGATTGAAGCCTATACCGATGTTGATTGGGCAGGTAGTGTGATGGATAGAAGGTCTACTTCAGGTTACTGTACTTATGTTGGTGGCAACTTGGTTACTTGGAAAAGCAAGAAGCAAACCGTTGTAGCAAGGAGTAGTGCAGAAGCTGAGTTCAGAGCAGTTGCTCATGGAATTTGTGAACTTTTGTGGCTGAAAAGATTACTTGAAGATCTTGAAATCTCAAGTCTGATGCCTATGAAGTTTTACTGTGATAATAAAGCTGCAATCAACATAGCTCACAACCGTGTCCAACATGATAGGACTAAGCATGTGGAAGTTGATAGACATTTTATTAAGGAGAAATTGGAAGAAGGAGTGATATGTTTGCCCTATATTCCTACAGGAGAACAGGTCACAGATATCCTCACTAAAGGATCACCGAAGGGGAAATTTGACAATCTTACAGGCAAGCTGGGAATACAAGATATTTTTCGAGCCAGCTTGAGGGGGAGTGTGGAAAGATCTAGGCTGAATTGTTAGGAAATTAGTTAGCGAGGATTTTTAGGAATTATCCATAGTTAGAGTTGACTTTTTAAAATTTTACATAAGTAGTTCCTATATCATAGGAATTATGATTTGTATATATCTTTTCCTTAGATAGAAATTGTAATAAACTTCTATATATATAGGCTTGTAAACTAACATATGTGATATGAAAAGAGAATATCAGAATTTTTTTTTTTTCACCTTTGTGTTCAATACATAATCTTGTTTTAATTACATAACTGAATAACAACAAATGTGGATCGGCAGAGAAAATATATATATATATAGAATGACACGGGATAGAAAGAGATAGAAGCTAACTACTAAATTTCAAAAATAAGGAAAATCCCTAAAATAAATTAAAAACATAACTCTAAAATCATTTGTGCCTTCGGCTCTTGCATCTCAAATATGGCATGACTGAAACCCATCTCAATTTCCATCAAAAAGACTCAAATTCAATTTCTAATGATGCAATAAATACATAAGGAACTTCTTGCATACAAGAAATATGCAAGAGACAGTCTAGGATCAATTTTTTAGAAGAATCGGGCTGGGTTGGGGTAATCATTCTTTGAAGATTATTTCCCCTACTTTTTAACAATCTCGGTTTTCATGGTGTACCAATTGCCAAATTTGAAGTTCATTGAATTCCCTCCACTCTTCCTCATTCCTACTCTTAGAATTTCCATTTTTTAGAATTCTAAATGATAGTAAATGAAACAATCCAATTTTATCCTCCTCGATGAGGCTTCTTATCCTTGTCCGCTTCAGAGGAAACAGTGGTACTTGGAATCTAATGGCTCCTTTCTCAACTCCATCATTTTTACTTTCATCCTGAACTAAGCTAATGTTTTTCCATTTCCTATGGCCTAAAGGATTCCCAATGCTAGCTCATTCATTAGTCAATACATTGGTTAGTAGCTTATAAAAAGGCATCAAGATGCGTACTGATGAGTTGCTTTAGCCTATTGTGCCTTACAAGGCCTTATACTCAAATTTGTGTTATGTGGAATAGAAATAGCATGCAGTGACCTTTGTGTCCGTTGATGTGTCCCTGTAGTCTTTGACAAGATTCTTTGCTCAGCTGGATAATGATGGAGTTGCTCCAAGGGAATTTGTCTCTCTTTGAAACCTCTTTGAGAGATTTGGCTCCAGCAAGAGTGCATGGAGGGAGAGGGGGGGGGGATCGAGTGGAAAAAGACCCAAAATTGACTCTAAGAGATACTTGAACAGTTGGACTGTAAGAAAATCAAGAATTTTTAATGGTGCAATGCAGTGAAGAGAATGTTTGAAGCAATGTTCTCTTTTATCTCCCCTATGCATTATCTTTTTATCTTACATGCGGCTAAATATTATTGATTTCCCCTATGCATTATCTTTTTAACTTGCATACAGCTATATACTATCAATCTCTCCTATGCATTATCTTTCTATCTTACATGTGGCTATATATTATCAAAGCCTTTAAAGGGCTACCTTGAATGTTATCATGAGTTGTTCTTGGGTTATGACTTCTTATTCTCATGGTAGCACTGTCGCAGCCTTACAGTAGCTTTTGCCTATCGAGATATCCATTCAAATTTGATTACATTCAATAGGAACTCGGAAGAAGCTGGTGTTGCAAAAACCCCTAGGTGGTCAAACGTTATCCCTTTGCAATGCCAAAAGTTAAGTCACAAAGCTGGCTGGGTTACAAGACGCGGCAGAGGCTAAGTTTAGGGCAAGTTCACCTCCACGAGCAATCAATCCTTCTTATTGATAAGCTTGGCCCAAACAGACAAGGTAAGCTGGAACGGAGGGCTAAAAGGGGCGGAAATGTGAGAAAGTTTATTCTTTTGCGCTTACTTGATGTACAGAACAAGCGTGCAAATTGATGGGGGATTTGAAAAGGACCAACAACGGGTAGCTTACCAGGCCCCCACCTTAAAGTGAAGAGCCTCGCCGGACTATGCTCGAGCCAAGCTCAAGCCGGTCGTGGCTAAACTCGCAGTAGGGTTCGAGTGCAAGTTTAGAGACGTGCACTAATCTTTTCCTCCAGGTCAACATGCTCCAGATTCGCTATTAAGCAAGCAAAACTTATAGCTCCCCTAGAAGGAGTTAGAGAAGCCTCCATGATGCGCCTTTATGGGTGCTTAATTTCTCAATCCTGAGTTCTTTATTCTTTTGGGTACATGACTGGTATACTAAATCTATAGAGGAATTTGTGGATTTTTGAGAGTATAGAGGGTTTTCTTTTCTGCAATTGTATTTGGGATGCACTCCCCTCTTGAGGCGCTCTTTAGAAATGTGTTATGGACAGGCTCAACAGGTTATGGACATTGCGTGAGAGAGTAGAAATGTGTAGTGTTTTTAAGGTGGAGACTAGATTTATCTTAACATCTACTAATCAGCAGGCTGATCCCTTGGGTAAGGGAGTCTTTATTATGATGGTGGTTACGAGTCACCATAACCCCCTTTCCCTCACCCCATACCAAAACTCCAAGTCCCAATGTGATTAGTAGAGCAGGTATATAAGGTTTGGATTGTTGGGGCTACATGGGCAAGTTTATTCAGGTGCTAATGTGTTTGGGTTGCTCTGCCTTTTTTCTTGTGCTAGAATGATTCTTCGTAGTTGTTTGTTTTTGTGCTATTCTTTTCATTAATTATATTTCTTGTTTTTTTTATATATATAAAGATATAGATTCACATAATTAACTTAATACATATAGAAATATGAAATAGAATCAGAATTTCTACAAGTTTACAGCTATAATATTTTAACCAGATCACTTAAATTTCAAGTTAATAAAATTATTTGTCAACATGTTTATCCTATACAGCTGAGTTCACTAGTACCGTGTGTTTTAATTCCATTTATACATAAACCTAAAGCTAATGTTGCTTTTAATCTTTGCCAAAACAATGGCGTAAAAGTAACAACCAACAGGTAACATTTATTTAACTGATGAAACAATGTAGTTAACAAAGCTAAATACCGTTCATGGTGCATTAAAGAAACCCTTCCAACACCGCCGTTCCTAAAAGATAAAATACTTATGCCTTCAATTTAGCTTCTCACATGATGTCTCTCTAATCAAATTATGGTAGATTATAACATCTTAAGCTTCCCACTTAAGACTTTTTCGTTTCAACAAATTCATAGGAGCCACCTCTTACATTCCAACAGAAGATGAGATAAAAAGAACCAAAGATATCATGTTTCATACAAACTTGTGAAACCAAATTTAGACTGCTCTACTAGGAGGCAGAAAAAGTTAGTAAGAACCTTTGGTCAAGTAGGAGACTGAGAATCTTAAAGGCAACCCTACCAGCAGGTGTTTCTCAGATATGCTAACTTTACAATCCCTCTTTCTCTTCTCTGTTGTTTTTGAGTCCTAAATCACTGAAAGACTTTTAATATAAAGCACTGGCACATCTTAAGCTTTCCTCAACAAAAGCAATGAATCCTACCCCTAATATTGAAATGTAAGGCATGATAAAAAGTATATATAACCGAAAGCCACTGCTAGTTCATGAGTTTGACAACGCTGAGCAACAGGCAATTTAGTGGTCCTACCGGCCGATCTCGTTAAAATACAGTTTCACACAATTACCAAAACTAGAAATTACTTTGCCAAAGCTTGTGCTAGTAAGATTCTTTGTAGGAACCTGGAATCAACACACAGTTTAAACTCAAATTGAATGAGTGACCACAAACCAAAAATTAAACTTGATTGTACAATTTCAGGATTGTCTATTTCAATGAATCATGCAAACGATCCTTGGCAAAGGGTTTCACATAGTGGGCCAATTCTGAGTCCTTAGAATTAAATTGTTAAGACTTTGTTAAATTGAGTTCAGAATATCAACGCAGCCCTGTTCTTTTACCACTCAACTATAAGGTGGCATTACACAGAAAAAAACAATTTTCAGTACACCTGTAATCTTGGGGATATGCAAGTTGGTGACAACCCACTAGGATTAAAATTTAGAAATTTACTATATACTGATCAAATTAAATTTGATTCATTGTCTGGTCTTGCAATAAGCATGCTACTACTACATAACCTACAGGAACACATATACCCTCAAACTAAGCACAAATTCCTCCATATAATTGGGGCTTGTGTTGCAATTAAGAACATTTGGTAACAATAAGGAAGACGAGCAATCTTGATATAATTTCTTAAAACTTTAGGAGTACTGTTCCTGGAACCTTAAAACATGACTATCACATTGCTTCTATCCCCCTATCAAGAAAATCAAAAGGAAAGAGAAAACAGACTGATACAACAACCATGACTACCTACACACACATCTCTCTCTCTACATATACATATACATATAATTTAGAAAGATTGGAATGAAGCATATTTGGTAAAAATCTATATTACATGTCAAAAATAGAAAATTGATGGGATGAAATATAAATATATATAATTATTGGGAAAGAAAAAGTACCCTCATCTCACTGTTGCCGAAGAAAGCATCGAAGAGCTTGCGAAAGGCTTGTCCCATGACGATGATGGGTTTTGATCACTGATTCTTTTCTCTCTCTCTACAAGAATCAGATTATAGCAACAGAGAAAGCGTCAGCGATCGAAGGTTGGAGTTGTAAAAAAGGCTTCCCGAACACAAATTGATATCCGATGAGCTCCGTATTGACGAGTACACGAAGAGAGATAGAGATGAGACAACAGAGACAGAGCTTTAGAACATTTTAGCGTTGCTTTTTTTTTTTCCTTCCTATAAAATCTTTTCTAAAATTGTTTTTAATTTTTTTCGTTTTTATTATTGGTTATTGCGATGGCTGACAAAATTGACTCGTTAAAACTCAATTTCCTCTCCCTGAAAATTTTTTCAATCCCGGAAATTTTAGTACAGTTTTACTACTACCAAAAAGGGAATTATGATTGAATTTGAACTGCGGTTTCATAAATTCATTGTTTGAATAAACTTTCGAATTCAAGTATATCAATTCTAATTTTATTATCTGGATAATATTAATTAAATAAAATAATGTAATACATATCTATTTACCTTGTTTAAAATTAATGAGTACATCGTGCCTCTATTTACCTATCATCCTAGTTAGTAAGTTTTGCGTATCCTTTAATTCGTTTTTATATTTTAAGGTAACCTTATTTTTTTTTTATCCTTTAATTCGTTTTTATACTTTAAGGTAACCTTATTTTTTTTTTTTTTTATAATGATAGTATTTTTCTGGAACGTACACTCTTAACATAAACTATCATCTTTTATTTGGTATAACCCTTCTCTTTCACACTATCAAAATAACATTATTTGTTATGCAATTTCGAGAAAGGCTGTGACCACTCAATTGTTCTACTATCACTCTATTTTTTTAATCTCTTAGTATTGTCAATCAAATAATTGATCTTTAATCAAAGTAATGAAACACCTATTATATTTTTATTATTTGTTACCAATTATTCATTGTCCTTACAAATATATGATATATAAGAAAATAATAAAATATATATAACCGAATTTTTAGTGCATATAACATATTATACACGTACGTATTCGTATTCGTATTTTTATGTTTCGGTTTTGTATTTTACTAACTATGCCTATGATATGTTAATTTTATACCAAACAATCAATGTTTACAAATTATATATATATATATATATATATATATATATATATATAATTATTTTTTTGTTCGATGAAATAATTAAAATTATTTTTTGTCAATCTCCTTTGTCCAATTCTATGAGCTATATATGATAAGTTTTATTCAATAAATAAGAGTAAATATTTTGTAAGATATTTTCTTATATTTGTGGCTCACGTGATTTGGACACGTGATTTACTTTTATTATTTGATGGTTAAATAAAATAGATATCAGATTAATATTATATTATTTGGTTAACTTATAAATTACCTTTTTGGTAATTAATTATTAGAGAAATATTTTCCTATTTACTCTTTATTTTGATGCAAAATGGAATTAAGGTTACTAAAAAGGAAAAACCGGTATTTTCTATGCCTTTATAAAGTGCATATTCCCTGTCAATTATGTACGTTAATAAAAACAACACGTATAATGTTTGTACGTACAAAAGGATAGTAGAGAGAAATCAGTTTCCACACGCTTTGTTATTGTTTGTACTTGCAATTTATCACGGTTCCGCAAAAAGGATCTCGATATTTGGCTTGATCTCAACGAGATTTGCAATTATAAATCGAGGTATTTATATCTAATTACTTTAATTTTGCATTATAGCAATGTAAAGATAATAAAGTTCTAAGATCTTAGAATTTATATTTATTTGTGATTAATGGTTTCACGAATAATTATAGTTTACATGTGGTATCAGAGCTTACGGTTCAAGAACTCATTATTTTCCTCTATATAAATAATGTGTAAATATAAAGTAAAATTAAATATTTATATAATTTAATTTTCTTATGGAATCTATATATATATATATATATATATATATATATATATATATATATATATAGTATTTGTTTTTGATCAGTCTCATAAGACTATTCATGAATTACCGTAGTAATAGTATGCATAGCCTGGTAACGCCCCATCTGGTATAGATTGAAATTGCAAACAGGTTGAGGTTGCCTTATAATTATTGCTTTAGAATTCATATTTTTTATATGGTTGGCATAAAGACAAACAAGATATATGTATTAGTTTCTTGGTCTTTGTGCACAATTGGAGTAACATATGACTGTAGAAGGTTTTTAAATAGTCTCAGGATGTTATTGTCTTCAAGAAGCTTATTATTATATTAATAGATGTCCAATAATTTCAAAGATTCTATTTTAGTTATTTAAAAGTTAATAAATTATTAAACACATAAAGTATGCGTATTTATTTATATTATTATCCAAATTTTATAGAATAAACTTGAATTTATAAATTGATCTTATTGGACATATAAATAAATTATTGTTTTGTACCCAAACTTATATACATGATGAAAAATCAATTTTAGATTGATTCAATTATGATCTCCAAGTCCGAAAATAAATATAATATGTTTTATTATATATATAAAGTAAAAGGATATTTTTATTGAATTTTCAGACTATTAAGTTCCTGGGATCGAACCTTCTTAAACTAGGATCGATCAGTATAAGAATGTGTGTATATTGTTAAATGGGTAAATTAATAATTAATTAGTTACTAGTTAATTTAATATTCATATTATGTAAGGGTTAGTAGCTACCAAGTGGTCTAATCATAATGATTAATGAATATTAATTTTAGTACTAAACATAATTAATGATGAATTAGTCACTACCTAATTTAATATTCATATTATGTAAAGGTTTGTAGCTGTCAAAGTGGCCTAACCATAATGGTTGATGGATATTAATTTTAGTAGTAGACATAATTACAATATTTCATGAATTATTGATATTTTTTATTTCTTATAATATTCATGAATATTGAGTTTATTTAATCATGAGAAATAATTTCCCAAAAGGAATTGATCTTCAAGTAATTAAATGAACATTAAGGGATTGTATGTATTTTTAATTAGGTAGGTATAAGATATTCAAATGTAACTTATCTATTTAATTAAATAATGTATTACCAATAAAGGTATACATATAAATTCAATCAGCATCACTATTAATATTTTATAGTTGTCACCTAAAGGGGTACTATAGTTATACATTGTATTTATATTTTTAAGTTAGACATACGTGTTGTTAACTCAAAGCATTATTATTGTGAGTATTTTATCTTATTATGTTTGTTTTATTGCATTTCTTAATTCGCATGCTACATAGTGTGTCTCGAACCAAAGCTCACAATTGCTTGCAAAAGTGTGTAGTGTGGCCAAGTTTAAATTTAGAAAATGTCATTACTACCTCTAACTAGTAATATGGCTAGGGTGAGTAAGGATTGTCCCAAGGGAAAGAAGGCAGTATTTGTGCGGAAACAATGTTGGATTAGTAGGTCGAGTGATTAAAAGATGGTTTATTGGTTGAGTTAAAGTACAAATTAAACTATACAAATGTAATATAGAATAAATAAATTGAGTAAAGTGTAGAGAATGAGAGAGAGGTCTTGGGACTTAGAGGTCACCACTAAACATTACCTTCATAGACATTCAATGTTTGATGGATGAGGGGAATTATGTGTTACAAAACTAGTGTGTGTGGCATTGATTGAATCAACAAGCATGGATGACTAGATAAGTATATATTGTCTAGACAAACTAGTGAATAGCACAATATATCAAATTGAGCCATTATTCATTTATTTAAGTCCACAATCAACACACATCATTAAATTAGAGAAATATATACTACTTGCACTCATAAGTATGGAACATCAAACAACAAGTATGGATTGTCCTCCCATCTAAGAAAATAAAACAACTACACTACAACTAAACTAGTGACATGAAAATTAAACTAATTAAACTAAGGAAGAGGCACAATCTATCAAGAAATAAGTATAAATCATCAAACAAACCACAAGAGTATTATATTTAAGCACCATACCTTGACCATCACTAGATTTATAGCATCAACAGATATAGACATGCATCAATATCACAAAACCTAGAGATAAACACATGAACATCTATTATAGCATACATAGACATATGAATAGAATGAAATGATCAATTGAAAGTATTAAACTACACAAATTATGGTAGAAATAAGATTTATATATATCAAAGGTCAAGACAAGAATTACAACACTAATTCCCATTAATTACAAAACATCAAGGTCTAGGAAGCATGTTTAGGGCTAGCTCTAACCCCAAGAAGATGTTTAGCCACTTATTGATGTTGTCATCCAACCCTCAAGGGCTATCTCCATGCTAGAAATCTTCTTCTTCCTTCTTGGTAGAAACCCTAGAAGAGATGAAGAACTTTCCTAATTTAAGTATTCTCTCTCTAATCTCTAGCCAAGTCTCTCTAATCTCACCCACCTCCTTACTCAAAATAGTCAAAATCCTTATATAAATAGCTCCAATGTCACACCCAATGGTTAGACCTCGTGTATTAGGGGCCCCCAATGATTGCACCACGTGCATACATTTTATTTGGCTTGAAATCAACTTTTCACACAACTCGAGGTAGTTCGATCGATCTCAAGGTTGGTTCAATCGATCGAACTATGGTGGCGCCTTTTTGGAAAAAAGACAAGGTTGAGATATTTTTGGGAAAATGACAAAAATGGTAGGTGCGGATAAGATCAAAGGTGTTCGATCGATCGAAGAATTGTTGGATCGATCAAAGAAGACATTTTGCTGAGGATAAGGACAAAAGGCTCGATCCATCTTGGCATTGTTGGAACGATCAATGTTTGATCGATCTGAGATCTGTTTGATCGATCGAAAAGAGCTTCATTTCACCAACTTGCTTCCACTTGGGTCCTTTCTTCCATTGAGCTTGAGATTGCATCTTTTATACTCTAATTCAGCTAGATTAACTTATTTTGGGGATAAGCGCCTGAAAAGGGAAATAACATGAAATTAGACTAAAACGGAAAAATAAGATAGGATAAGGTACTAGAACGTTCAAGCTTAAAGGGTTTAAATGCGCACTTTTCAGTGCTCATCACTACATCTATTCTGATTCTCAATAGGGCTTACTTCTCATAATGGAATGAGTAAGTTAAGTTCAAAATTTAGGTGTGCTAAATCTTGATTTAGTATTTTAAATTGAGAAATCTACTGTTATTATTGATAAAGACAGTGAGGAAGAAAAGATACTCCATAAAGCT